TTGTGTGGATCTACATATAGTCCCCTGGTTTGGTGGCTATGTGTTGGTCTTCCCAGTAAATGAGAGGGTAACTTCCCTGCACCTTCGGGTGGACTGACTGGCTCTTACTGTTTGTGCCTATGTGCTGAATGACAAATCAGAGTATCCAGCCTTCTTAGAATCATTAGAGGAGGTGCTGGAAGGTGATCCAGCTAGGGACAACATCAATCTGCTGGTAGACTAAAATGCACACATGGGTAGCGACAGTGTAACACGTAGGGGTATGATTAGTAAAAACGGTCAGCTGAACTTGAGGAGTGTTCTATTGTTGGCCTTTTGTGCTAGTCACAAACACCATGTTCAAACATAAATGTGTCCATTGGTGCACATTGAACTTAGCCGCAGACTGATGATAGGCTTTGTAGTCGTGTCAACTGATTTGCAGCTGTTTGTTTTGGATATTCAGGTGAAGAGAAAAGCTGAGCGGTCAATTGATGACCCTATGGTAGTGAATAGGATCAGATGGGAGGAAGCTGGGTTGATGCTTGATGTGGTAGAACCCTATAAGTATAGAAAGTTTGCTGGGAATGCCTGGCAAAATAACTTGTCTAAAAGATCTTTAACTCACATCAGGTAGAGCTTCAATTGCATACCAGTAACAGTGACACTGAGTGGGCCTCCATTGTCAACGAAGGTGCCCTGAGCTATGGTGGCAATATTGTTGGTACATTTCGAGGATGCAGTCCTTGAAGGAACTGAGCGTCAGATCGCATGTTCTCCAGGTGAATTCAGATAAGGCGGCCTTCAAGGCCAACCAGGGGAGCCAAATTCAGATAAACAAACAGTTGTTTTGGGGACAGGCCGAACTTAATGGCATCTACCATGAGTCTGCGTTGGTCCAAACGGTTCAGAAATGTCCAAATTCCACAGCCACACCAATGGAACGTGCCTAAGTAAAATCCCCAAGATCTGATCCATTCTGCCCAAAGCATTTGAGTCTGGGTACTCGAGGAATGAACCAAGCCATCATAAAGGCAAGCAGCGTGATTGGGTCCCAATTTGCTGCCGACAACTTCCTTGATTGTAGATAAAAACCAACAACCAGCTGAATCCAAAAAGCAGGAACCAGTTATCGTAAATCCAATTAGGCCATGCTGATTATTTTAGCCGCAGCTTCGTGCACTCCACCCATCTTCGGACGACTGTACGTACATATTCGCGTTGTATCTCGGTGCAATGCCAATAAAGTTTATTCTGATTCTGATTCTAAATATGCGTCCTTAAAATCCACAAATGGTAGCAGAGATAGACACATCATCAAGACTTCAAGTCGATGAGATATCCAGACGTGTGCATGCCAACTGGGCAAATCATCTCGCCTAAAGGCTGTCTTCTCTTTGAAGAAATGTTATCAATTGTGTTGAGGGACCAGCTGACCAAATCAAGTCCGTAATTATGGTTCAGAAGATATGCAAGAGAGGCTCAGAAGCAGTTTCACAGACAGACAGAGCAGCAAAACAAAGTGGAGAGGGAGGGGGAAAGCATCTGACCTCGGCAAGAGCAAGTGGTGAAGTGTAAGCACCCGGGACCAATCGAAGATTAGGTGTCTTGCTCAGAGACACCATTATATGTGGGAATAGCTGTGAATTGAGCAGCGACTTTCTGGTCCTCGGTTGGCTGCCCTGCCTCTACCCCATCTCGGCCCCCAGAGAAATAAATATACATATAAATAAAACATATATTTAAATGTACAATAAATAGACAATAAAATGCTGGTAAATTGTCAGGCAGATGAGGCAGGTATCCTAGGTTCTACATCCCACTTTCCAGATTAGTGTATAAGCTACACTTATTGATTTTTGTTATAAGGTGTAAAATATGTGCTTATATGCTACATGTGTTTTAATTCAACTTTTCATAGCACAAAATACATTGATTTACTTAATCTAAAGAATTTGTTGATTGAAGAAAGTCATAAAAATTTAGTAATCGGAGAAGCTCCTTCAACAGATAATCACAATTTAGTGCAATCACAGAAATTCTGTCCAAAAAAGTTCAATCTGGTCCTCTGGACATTCAAAAAAAAAAAAAGGTAAAAAAATATAGAAACGTTTCGTCTCTCATCCAAGAGACTTCCTCAGTCTGAGGTGCTGTTTTCAGCTCAGTCTCTTAAATAGCACCCTCTCAGAGTGGATCAACCAGTTTGCTGCTGACAACCAAAACCAGCGTGACCAGCTCTCAGCCAATCAGTCCTAATACTCTGAGGCATAAGATAAATGGGGCTTTGTCTGTAGGATGAAATAGGTGTATAATTAATATGTATCTTTATTTGTATCTTTTCTATATCTTCCACCTGAAGGAGCCATTTTGTATAACTCTTCAGAACAGACCCTGTCTTGTTCCTCTCTGAAACACAACTTAATCATAAGAAAATGGTAACTACAAATTAACCATAAAACTGAAAAGTATAAAATATAAATAAGATACAGTCAAGAAAAGATAACAAATATTTCATGTCCAAGTCTTTCTGTTCTGATTCTTGTTGGCATTCAGGTCTGGATTTGTCTCCCTGTCAAAGTTTGGGTCTATGTTTAGATCCAAGTACAGGACTGCACATGGATCCATGTCCTGATCTGAGTGCAAATTATCAATCCAGGTACATGTCATTTCTAGACTTGGGTTTAGGTATAGATCTATAATCATTAACAGGTTAAGGAGCAATTCCTGGCCCTGGTCTGGGTTTAGGTCAAGGTTCAAGTCCTGCTCTAACTCGTTCAGCAACAGGTCCAGATCTAGAACCAAGTTTTGATCCAGGTCCCATGGCTGAACTAAAACTGATTTGATTTGGTCTGGATGGAAGAAGAGATCCAATAAAACCTAAAACAGTAACGGGACTTTCTTCCTCTGTAGTCCAGTTAGTTTCCATCCCAGTGTTCAGGATTGCAAATCTGGATCATAAAGAAGAATCTGTACTGAAACCAGTAGTTTGAAGCCAGTTCGGGTTGAATCTGTGTATCAGGACTTTGGTTTGATGTTTCAGCAGATCTGAAAACTATCTGTGGTTGCAACTAAAAGTGCTCTTTACATTTTGCAGCAGCTAATGTAGTATGTCAGGACAGCTGTTGCTGTGGACATCCTATTAGTTAATTATTCTTAAGGCTAGTTCAAGCACAAAGAATATTAACTGTTTAATTAACAACGGATTCTTTCTTTTTTGAGTTAAATTTCTGCCATGTGACCAAGATAACTTGAGAGTGGAGTGTATAATGAGTGACATGAGACGTCATTTATCTTTGACCCATCAGAATAAATGCGGTCATTTATTTAACAGAATCAAAATTTTACATGGGCAGCATGGTGGCGCAACTGCCTCTCAGCGAGCAGGTCCCTGGTTCAAACCCCGGTCCGGGGGCCTTTCTGGGTGGAGTTTGCATGTTCTCTCCGTGCATGCGTGGGTTTTCTCCAGGTACTCCGATTTCCTCCCACAGACCAAAAACATGCATGTTAGGCTGATTGGTAACTGTAAATTGCCCCTAGGTGTGAGTGAGAGAGTGAATGGATGTTTGTCTCGTTTGTCTCTATGTGGCCCTGTGATGGACTTGCGACCCGTCCAGGGTGTACCCCGCCCCTCGCACAGTGATTGCTGGACATGGGCACCAGCGACCCCCGTGACCCAAAATGGAATAAACGGGTAAAGATAATGGATGGATGGATGGATTTAGATGGATGAAGGAAAGTGTGTTGACCAGGAATGGCACCCTTCATCCGACCCCAGCTCAGCCCCTGTACACTCGGTGCATGACGACTCGTTACCTTTGCAGAAGATAAATCAGCTCCGGTACAGAGGTCCATTTCAACGCTACCTTTCAGCGTCTCCGGTCAGGGTGGCTGAGAATCGTCTGAAGTAGTGACGATACTCCGTTCAACAGAATAAGCTTCCTTAGAAGGAATCTTCCTTAGAAGTTGAGAGCATTTAATGCTCGGGGTGAGATCACAGCGAGGCGTGCTGTGACTCCGCTGAAATGGACGGACCATTGGCTCATGGTCCAAAATCCATCAGCTATTAGAGTAGAGACTGTTAGACCTTAGCCTCCATTAAGACTGAAAATTCCAGTAAGACTGAAAGTTCCAGTAAAAACTCTCAAGTTCCAGTAAATGTTGACTTTTAAAGGGTATCCACTTCCTGTTACTTGGTACTTCCTGATTGGTTAACACAACCAGCAGGGGTGGAGTTTTAGTTATGTCAGAGGGTTATTAGAAGTCACAGACAGCAGACATGTTTTTAAGAACGGTTAGTAACAGACAGGAAAATATTTTGAAGAAGTGAGAGACTTGCAGGCGCCAGTTTCTTATTTACTGTCTGAGAGTTTTAAAACAAGGCACTTCATTCTCATAACTTGTTCTCTGACTTTTGACAGACATTACAACTCCACTCCTCATTCAGACAGAAGAGTAAAATGCACAATTACTTTGTAGATAGACATTTAACTTGTATGATCTAAGTCTAATGAGGTTTAAAAATCATTAATACTGTTTCACAGTTGATTTAAATGAGTAGTTTACTTCAACATTAGAAATGGTATGAACTGAACACACTTTTGATTATCAAGATATTGTAAAATATTAATGATAATAAAAAAAAGAAGAGTGTTCTTTCAATAGATTAATTCAGGATACAATTAAATAGTCTCTTGATGAGATCATTTGTGTTCTGGATTCAAATCGATGAAATAACAGTTCCTGTCCCCTGAAGGTCTTCAGAGACTGATTGATGTAGGAGGTCTAGTTCACTACACTAACAAATCTACCTTCAAAAACTGACAATGATGTCCTTGTGTCTATAGTAAAGATATTATTTCAGCAAATGAGGAAGATGAGGAGCTGCTAAAGATTGGTGTGAAGGCCTGGTCAAGTCAGGGAGACCTGCTGGCTGCAGATGAGTAAGTTTACAAAATACCCAATGTGAGCTTCCTCCATTAGGCCTGTCCTTCACTTTCATTGTCCTGTTGTCATCCTGCAGGATGCGTCCGTTGTCTGCTGCCAGCATCGGCAGCGTTGGATTCCAAGAACGCCTGAATGAGCTGGTCAAGTTCTTCAAAGGTCGAACAGAACGCCAGAAAGGCCGACTGGTAGATCCAGATGCATCTGAGGATGACAGCCCCAAAACCTGTATGTGTGTTCTTTGTCTACAAGTAGTATCCTCATACATAACATGCTCCCACAGTTTTAAAATACTTTGTATTCCAATGGAGGTACTTCAAGTTTTAAATAAATAAATATGAAATAAGTTTTTTGGAGACGTGAGTCAATCTGAAAAAAATCTCTGCAGACTCAATTTAACCTCATGATTATTTGAAAAGAGCAGTAGTTAAAGATTTTAGCCCTTAGGAGCCACTTTTATTTGCAGTTTCTGACTTTTTCTCTTCACAGATGAAAAACAAATAAAATGGCAGAACCGAACCATGTGATACTGCAGTTAACCAGAGTTTAGACTTTGAAAAGAAAAAGTTTGTGACATGGCCAGTGATCACCAATGTTCCAGAAAGTTGACTGATTATTTTGCATTAAAAACTTTATTTTTTATGTGGTATGTGTGTAGATGCTAAAACTACAAATCCCTCTGGACCCACCAGCAATGAGCTTGATCTGCACTAGTATTTGGGAGTGTGGGTTCAATTCTCTGCCAGCAGACACCAACAAACCTGGAGCATCATGTATGAAAGAGTGTGCAGCTTTCAAAAGTATGTACACACAAACATTCAAATTTATGAAACTGTGCACACTTATCAAGAAGAATCAGTCCAGAGGACCTGACTTAACTTTGTTAGATGTGCACACAAGTTTCTGACCACCTTTCCTTTATACATCCATTCATTTATACATCCATAAATGTTCAAACTCATAAGAAAACATCAAAACAAACAGTCATATTGTGATAAATTTATGTTTCAGTGCTTTTGTAGTTTGATACTGTTGAATGAAAAAGTTTGAGTATATAAATGCACACATTTTTTAATTAGTTTTCATCCATCCTACATTTGCGTGGAACATGGGGTACGCAACCATTTGTGCGTTTGCACCATTCATACATGAGGCCCCTGGTATTTCATGGGAAATAAATCACCTGCAGATGTGCCCACATTAGATTTGTGGAATAGATCAAGACTTTGGTCCTTGTTAGTTATTGCACTGAACCAGATGATGTCAGGGTTGTTGAAGGGGGTGTAATTTGTTTTATTTTATTTTTTACTTTCTTCCCATTTTTATTCACTTGGTTCGATGTGTATTTACCAGGTAAGTTACTAGTATTTACTGGTTACATGTTGGTTACATAACTGACACTTAAAGTACCTACAGCTATGTTATGAAGGGACATATTACCCCATACTTTCAGGGTATGTGTCCCTGTGTATTATGCATTTTTTACTGCTCTTTGTTGTTCCACTTCTCTGCCTACACTTTAGGTTGTCTATACAAGCAACATACAACACTCTAAACTTCATGTCCTGATCTTTGCAGCCCCGAGCAAAGCTCCACTGCCTCCTCCTCCACCACCTCCTCCAGGAGGGGAGAACAAGGATGGCATGACTGCAGTACAGGAACAAGATGAGGGGAATGAGCTCAACTTTGAACTTATGGGGTATCCAGTTAAAATCCCCAAACTTCCCCCTATCCCCAGCTGGCTGCGAGCGATCCTGGAATACCGCTTCCCCTCAAGCATTGACCCATTCACTGGTGAGAGTTTCACCAGAACATCAATTTTCAAAACAAAAGCACACTCAGTTTTAGAAAACAACTGTTAAGAAATTAATTTGTGTAAGGATGGTATCCCTCTGTCAGTCTCCCTGTGGATGTACTCCCTAGTGTCTCTCATTAATTACCTTGATCAGTTCCACCTGTGTGTCTTCCAGGTGTTTGTAATTTGTCTCATCTAGTCTGTGTATATAAGCCCTGGTCTGTGTTTCAGTCTTTGTCAGTCCATCGTCTGGTATCCCTCCTGTGTCCCTTGTGTTTTGAATCACATGCCTTGTAAGCGTTTGCTGCCATGCCAGCTATTTATTTTCACTATTAAAGTATTTATTATTTTTACATCATGGACTCTGAGCCCTGCCTGCACCAATGGGTTTGTTCCTGCTTAGCTCAGTCTGAAAATCCTGACAATTTGTGGACAAAGATTTTTTAAAAAAATGCAGTTTTGAGCAAAATGACTGTTCAGTGTATTCAGAACATTATTTATCAAAATAAACGTACAAGCAAATTTTGAAAACAATTTGAGGAAGAGACAGTTCAGGACCCAAACCTTGATTTCAGTCTCTGGTTCCATTTGAATTCTTTGTCCCTGCAGAAAGTCCTCTGGTACAGAAAAAAAAACAGATAACTGAGCCTGGACAAAACAGAAAAATTACATTTAAAAAACACTGTTCTTCTGAATTTTATACTGTAACATTTTCCAAAATCAGTTGGGAAAGTGTGAGTAAATCATTGAATTGGCAAAAGATAAAGTTTCTCAAAGATAACTAAGTCCATGCTCAATAATCCAGGTATACAATCCAATATTTTTCAGTCAGGTCATCTGGACAGTTTCTTTTTTTGCGCTGAAACGTTTCGCCTTCGATCCGGAAGGCTTCATCAGGCAAAGAAACATACAACGAAACTGATTCTTCCCCCTCAACAGCTTACTCCAAACTGGAACAAACTACACACACATATATCACACGGACACTAAACAAATTGTGAATAAAAACTGAATGCAATGATGTGGAGATGGCAAATGTCAATATTTTATTCATAATATAACATAGATGACAGATCAAAAGTTTAATCTGAGTAAATGTAATATTTTAAAGGAAAAAAATGTTGATTAAAAATTTCACAGTGTCAACAAATCCCAAAGAAGTTGGGACAAGTAGCAATAAGTGGCTGGTAAAAGGAAATTGAACATATAACGAACAGCTGGAAGACCAATTAACACTAATTAGGTCAATTGACAACAGGATTGGGTATGAAAAAAGCTTCTCAGAGTGTCAGTGTCTCTCAGAAGCCAAGATGGTAAGAGGATCACCAATTCCACCATTGTTGCGCAGAAAGATTGTGCAGCAATACCAGAATGGTGTTACCCAGCGTAAAATAGCAAAGACTTTTGTTATCATCATCAACCTTGCATAACATCTTCAAAAGATTCAGAGAATCTGGAACAATCGCTGTGTGTAAGGGTCAAGGCCATAAACTCTACTGGATGCTCGTAATCTCCGGGCCCTTAAATGTCACTACACCTCAAACAGGAATGCCACTGTCAAGGAAATAACAGAATGGGCTCAGGAATACTTCCAGAAAGCATTGTCAGTGAACACAATCCACCATGCCATCCGCCGTTGCCAGCTGAAACTCTACAGTGCAAAGAGGAAGCCATTTCTAAGCAAGCTCCACAAGCTCAGACATTTGCACTGGGCCAGGGGTAATTTAAAATGGAGTGTGGCAAAATGGAAGACAGTTTTGTGGTCAGATGAGTCACGATTTGAAGTTCTTTATGGAACACTGGGACGCCATGTCATCCGGACCAGAGAGGACAAGGATAGCCCAAGTTGTTATCAACGCTCC